ATAACAGTTTTATTGGCCTAAAACAGTAAAAAATGACAGTGAAGAGAAAGAGAGAAATAAAAAAAATGGAAATCTGAATAGAAAAATATAAGTTAGTCAAAATTATTTTACTAGAAATATCACGATAAAACTTCCTAACAGTAGATTGTAAATTGTCGTACTGTCACTATCTATGTGGCGAGGTAACCTCTATAAAAAAAAATATTAATTTAAGTCATAGTTTGAATGCTGAAAGATTGAAAAGTATTGGAAATCAATAGGACTAACATTTCTGATAAAAATCAAATAAACTATGTGTTTTTTTTTCACCTTCCACTTCACTTATCCATTTGAGATTCAAAGCCATTGTATGTGTGTATATATATATATACACACACAATTTTATATACATATATATATATATCGTTATGATATATATATATATATATGTATCATTTTAGAACATTTTTATCATCCATCCCATAAGTTCTGGTATTTATTGAAACCCTAAAAGCCTCTTCAGTCGCGTAGTCAAATCCATGTGTTTTGGCTTCATTTGTTTTTCTACAGACACCTTAAAATTTGAGGATAGTGTGTGCTGTATTTAAAGCCTGCTTTAATAGGAATGTGCTTGCTTGATTTGTACGTGGTTAAAAACATATGTATGTATGTAATTTTTAAAAATGAAATAAGGCCAAGATCAGACACAATGGACTTGCTGTATGAACTGGAGTAGTGCCTGCAGTCTTTGAAGTTGGACAGTGTTTTAGATTGAGTGCAAATTTGACTTTTCTCTTCTGAATACGAATTTTGATTGTGTTGCTTACATACTTCAGCTATTTCATTTTCAGTACAGTAAAAAACCCAAAAAACTAAAACGAAAAATCTCAATATAAATTTGTATGTGGACAAATCCAATTAATAACATCAAAATCAATGCATTAAATTAAATATAGCTACAAAGTTTACTTTTAAGTTTAAGTGCATGTAAAGTGCTGGGAATAATACACTGAATATCTATAATATATGATGCAGTGCTTTTTTTTTTTACTGTAACTCTGATACAGCGAATAACATTGGTTTATTATGAAATTTTATTGGAACGGGCTTGTTATGAGCAACAACTTTGAATAAGGCTTATTGAAATTGAAAAATCTGGCAGACCTGCTAAGTTATGGGAGACAAGATACTTACGAGTTAGAACTTATTTAGAAATTAGACCTGAAATGCTATTTTACACAATTTTGATTTAGAATTTGAAATTAACAAATTATGAGGAATATTAATAATAATACAGTTTGCGTGATTTTTAATACAAGTTTACTAAACTCTGACCGCTACAATTAACAAATAGTAATTAGGCCTACGTTACTAGGCCTAATATTTCACACTCGGGTTTAAACATGAAAGATGCACTTGTTTTGCTGAAAATCGTAATCAAACTAATGACTCACTATATTCAAAATAAAAAATAAAATAAAGAAAGTTAAAAAACTATAAACAATAACGTAATTATGGTCTTACAATATTTATAACAGGAAAACTTGAACAAAAATCTGGATGAAGAACAAAGTTATAACATAAACCCTAAGCGTATAAAACTGCATAGTAGTAGTAGCCCTAACGACATAAAAAAGTGACATGAAATAAAACTAAATAAAAAATGTTCGAAACCCGTTAATCGAACAAAAATGAAAAAGTTTAGTCTGATACTTTTGAAAAAGAAATCTTAAAACTTGTCCACAGGCCTGTAAACAGGGGGAGCTAATCCCCCCGAAATTTCTTCCGTTCCGACAAAAAAGTACAAGGAGAGAAGAGAGATGGAGCAAAGGCAAAATTTTTCTAATGCATGTCGTATTTATTTTATAAACATTTATTATATAGTCTCGTTTTGAGTTTACTTATTTAGTTTACTAATATATTTATTTTATGTTTATTTTATATTGCACCAATATAATTTTCAAGTATATCGTGCCTCATTTGTGTGTTTGTTCTAATACGTGTATCGTTAATTTAATTTATATGACTTACTTTTATTATTTGTCAATAATTTAATTTTTTTATGTTCTTTTGTTACCATATTTGTTTGTTTCTTATGTTACCTTTAAGTCAACACAATTTGTATGTATGTAAACTGTATTTATATTATATATTTTATTTTAAAATCAGAGTATATTTTTCTAGAAAAATAAAGTACCCAAAATGGTAGAATATAAACCAAACGGAACTGAACTGAAATCCTGTCTACGAATCCTGATAGTCCATGATAAAAACATAAAAAAAAAAAAACAATACAAGGACTCATCATTTACGGATATACGAATATACAATGTGTTTCTATCTTCTTGAAATATTATACTATTTATTCTGAAGTTATTCTTTGTTCTGTATATGTGCAGGTTTCACAAAACATGTGGTTTAGGAAACCGTTGAGCTGATTTCATTCTAAGCACTTTTGTCTCTTTGTTGTTCTCAAAGTGGATAATACTTGTTATTGCCAAGAGTGATATTAATCAATACTTTACGTTGTGCAAGGATGTTGACAGCAGGTCTTTCAACGGTTATTCAGGTGATGTATAAAGATTACGGCATCACCTTTGTTATCGTTAGAATGAACAGTCGCGTGGGAGAGCTAACCACCCTACCAGAAAGCGAGGTTTTTTATGTGCTAAAGAACATTACATTTGGTCACTATAGTCTAGAATTTCATTTGGGTTGATGATGGGAGAAAGAGTTAACTAAAAAAGGTATTCAGTGCAAATCTTCATTAACTAACAGCTCGAAATATCGTCCAAAAACTTTTCTATACAGATGCAGTTCATTAAAAATGTGTATTTTGTTATATATTTTGTTTTCAGTATCATTATTTCATTTACGAAGATTCAATTAATGATTTATTTAGTATTGGTGAGGAAAAATGGTTGTCTGAGAGAACTGTTATTCTAGAAGTCGTTTCTTGGATGTAAGTCTTTTGTCAATGCTTCAAAGGTCTATGACTTTATTACTGCTGATGGCCTAGGGAGAATTGTTGCCTATTTCTGGTACATCCAGATTAATTGTTCATGCTCTTACATGGAGGATCAACTCCAATGTGAGGAAAGCAAAGACTGATGATTGTCATGGTGGTGTCAGATCTGGTGAGTCTGAGATAGGGTGGGCCACTTTATATCAGACTCCCAGTCTTATGCCAGCCAGAATAATCCAATCCCACTTCTGGTCAAAGCCACATGAAAATATATGAGAGCAAGACTGGAGGTACTGCTGATGGATGACATCTGCTAATCAGAGATATTTCACTAACAAATGAGATGGTGGGTGCTAAGTAGTAAAGTGACTGTTTCATGTGTCAGTGGTGAGTCTTCCAGAAACAAAAGATATACAGACGATGTAGACATAGCTCCTGGAAGAGCTTAGGTTCAAACAGAGATAATGAACAAACTACCTAAAACACCTTGAAATTCAACTAACCTGGATCAAAGAGCCTAATATGCTTGTCAGTATATTAGGCTCTTTGAGAGCCCCTGCCATGCTGCATTTATGATGTGGAGGATATCTTGGTCAGGTGATGGCTAGGACGTGGGTAAGGAGAGCGACTAGCATTGCCCAGAGTTTACCTTGACTGAGGCAAAGCAGATCACTCTGCCAATATTTAAGGCATAGTACATGAAGATTTGGAACATTTCCTAAAGCATTTCAGGAATGACTGCCTGGAATGGCTGGACTCTGGAAGGATTCCTAGCTCTTAGTCTAGACAATCTGGCACTAGACTACATTGAACATTTGCATGAGAAGCAATTTTGGGACTATGAGACAATGATTATTAGGTTTTGCTAAAGGTTTCACCTGGAAGAAAACAGAGAAACTCACTGGGCTAAAATATAGGCTTGGAAGGGGGTGAGTTTGACCATTTACATAGATTATCTTTGTTGAATGCATGACAAATCTTACCTTGCAATGACTTCAGGAGATCATGAGGATATCCTCGTTAACAAATACGTGAAAGGGCTACCCAGCAAAACAATGTGGCATTATATGGACATAGGAGACCTTCTCATCTTTACTGAGGAAGTATTACTAAGTGGTAACGTTGAGTCAGTTGCAAGATAAGAAAAAGCCAGTAGCATAAGCTGCAGTAACATTACCTTGGATGAACTGTCCAGTTGGAGTACCTACATCATGCCAAATTTGAACCCAGCCACCCACACATCTCGGAATTGTGATACAAACACACTAGTATCAAGTGAATAGGTAGGGCTATCCTGGTCTTTTCATGGTTTAGTTGCTGTAACCTATACTGCTGATGCCTCCACTACGATATTGCCTTGGAAAGGAGGAGCAACCTAGTTTTTGAACAGCAAGGTAAACAAAGCTATCAGTTTTGACCAATGTTTCAAGAGGCACATTGCTTGCCCACCGCATGGTACACTATATGAGTGTCACATAATTAATGCGTGTTTTCCTTTCCTGTTTCTTCAACTATCTAGACGACTTAGGAAGACATTGTCTGCCAACTATAATATATTACCATGTGAATGCAGCATACTGTGTGCTTCCTTTTCATGTTTTATTTATTTTTTGCTAATTATCATTTGAGCGTGTAAAATAAATTGATAAAAAAAAGCTGTATCATTTTTCATAAACTAGTTTTTAAGCAAATAAAAACTTTACCCTTCTTGTTGATAATTTATTAGTCATCATTTTTATATGTATTTTGAACGTGAATTGAGCCATGTTAAAGTTTATTTTTATGTTTAATGTTAGATAGCCATTGCTGTATATTAGTTTTCTTCTTTTCATGCATTTTTGGTTAGTTTATGGTAGAGCATGTTTTGAGTTACTGTTATTTTGTCGTATATTTATAGCTTCAGTCATATTTCTTCAGTATTTAAAAGTTCTTTATTTATTATATGTTGTTCCATTTGAAGTAAGAATGGTTGTTTGTATTGAACTGTATGTTTTGTCCTCTTTTACTAACAAGGGATTTGATTACTGTTGTACGTTTTATATTGTTGTTTTGTCAAAGTTACTTTAATATGCATGACGGTACCTTTGATACTACTGCTTTGTTTTATGTTAGTCTTTGTTAAAGGGTTTGTTTTGTGATGATGTATTGTGATAATTGATTTTGTATATGCATAGTGTGTTAGACTACCCATTCTAAAGGTATGGATAATCATTGTTACAGAATTTACATTGCATTTGTTATTGTTAAAGGTTTTATGTTTGTGTGTGTGTGGTTGAAACAGAGCTAAAAGGATGATTTTTGAATGAATGTATTATCTTTTTTAAGGTTTTTTATTGTAATTTTTGTGTTGCATTTCCTTGCTCAAAGGTTTTAATGGGTGAGAAAGAGTCAGCGCAATCCTTGACCAGAGCAAGTTTTTAATTTATTGGTTTGAACTTTAGTTAAATGTTGACTTTAGGACAAGCCTAAAGTAAAGAAAACAAGAAGTGTGTTACATATGTTTCCATCTTCTTGTAATGATTGAATATTTATTCTTTGTCCTACATATGTACAACTTTTATATAACACGTGGTTGAGAAAGCCATTGAGTTGATTCTGGTCCTTTGTTGTTCTCAAAGTGGATATATATAATACCTGTTACCACTTGAGAAAGATATTGTTTAATACTATACACTGTGTAAGAATGTCGGCAGCAGCGTCCTTCAATGGTTGCTTTGGTGATATCTAAATGTTATGGCTCCACTCTGTTGCAATGAGAATGATTAGTCCAAATTTTAGTGCTTGTCACCTTGGATAATACGAGGTTTCTGTCATGTTAAAGAACATTAATTTTAGTCACTACAATCTGAGTTGGTCCAGTAATGATGAGGAAAATAAATGACCAAAACGAAGGTATCCATCTAGAGTGATGGTCCGACATAGTTAATATTCAAACAAGTACACACACTATGTTTGTGTTTAGTGTTCTAACGTTTTGTTTTACACTTCGAGTCTATTCTTATTATTTCATTTTACTTGCTCTCATTCCAGTTGACCTGGGATGGACTGATGGTTATGGTGCTTGATTGAAGTCTGTGGGTTGCAAGTTCGAATCCCGTCACCGAACATGCTTGCCCTTTCAACCACGGGGCCATTATAAAGTGACGGTCAAATCCACTATTCGTTGGTAAAAGAGTAGCTCAAGAGGTGGTGGCTAGTGGTATTGACTAGCTGCTTTCTCTCTAGTCTATCACTTCTGAATTAGGTATAGCTTTGCGTATAATTCAATAAAAGAAACAAAATCATTCTAGTATTATAGCTGCTCTTGTGTAAACAAGTTTGATTTTTTCTTTACTTATGAAATTAAAAAGTAGAATATCTTCTGCAGTAATAATATACTTTCAGGTGTTTCTTACAAGTTTAACGTCTTTCCAAGATCAACACCTTCTGTAATAAAATGTACAGCTTCCTGGTTTTTAATTCCTTTAGCTGCTGAAGTACCTTCTCTTTTATTGTAATTCCTGTTAATGCTTCCTCGGCATGGTGGGGGTTTTGTTACTTGTGCTTTGGTGTTTTGATTTGTGAGAATTATTTAGTGAAAGTAAGTATTGGAAAAGGTGTCATAAATCAAATTGTCATAATTCTGAATTTATAAAATCTGTAAATTAAATTTACTTTAGCAAGTAAAAAGTATAGGTAAAGTAAAAAAACGTAGTTAAGTTTTTAATGTGTTATTGTTTTTTTTTTTCATAAACAATTACAAAAACTTGTGACTTGTGAATTAAATGTGCATATTTCAACATGTATACTTTGACAAAAGACACTGGGTTTATAAACTTAACTACAGATTGTGAGCCAGTCAGTGAACAAAAATGTTTTA